TAATAAAACATACAAGAAAAACAAATCTAATCAAAACAATCAGCACCAAACCAAACCAACTTAGAGATTATGGATGTATAGAGTCCCCTACTTTGGTCCTCTATTAAATTTGTCCTCCGAAACACAGTCTGAAACAAAGACATTATAAATATAGACCGAACATCTCATTCATAAATACTCGTTGGTAGTGTATCAAACATTCCAATGTGTCAAACAAGGACAGAAGAGACAGAGAAGTCTAAAATTTCCGACCCCGGCAACTAGGCGCATTTGGATTGTTCTAATGGCCAGTGGCGTATCGTTTTTTTGAACGAATTTAATTAGTAAAGTAAAAGTAAAGTAATTAGTAAAATGTTTACTCCATATTAATATACTACATTAACACTTTTTCGTCAGATGAGTTTTGTTATAAGGTCTAATATAATAATATAATTAATATCCCACATATACTTATGTTGAAACGTTAGTAGGTAGTTTTCGAAAATCGCTCCAACGTCGATTTTCAATTTAAACTTACAGTTAATTTTATATAAACTTTCAGTTACTTTTGAATATTTACAGGGTGATTCAGACTACCGAAACAGTTCTATATTAGGTTTGTTGTTGGTGACTTTTCTTTCAATTTTTTTTTTCAGAATATGGAGGCAATGGTAAAGCACATTTCAGGCATTTTTGTAAACATAGGTGGCCGGAACATATTTTCAAACTAAAGTTGTAGATTTGCCATTTAATTTCCATTCCAGAAATACCTAGGGTTGCCACCTGTCCTTTTTTGAAAAGGACAGTCCTTTTTTGGAATAACTTGTCCTTTTGACTTTTTTTGACTTAAAAAGTCAATTTTATTTACGTATTTTCACTGAGAAAATTACCTACAGCAAACAGAAATATTATTTTCGTCCAAATTTAATTAGAGATGTTATAAAACTTATAAATAATTTTTTCTTGTTTAGAATAGGCAACATTATTTAGAACTTCCCGTTTAATCTCAAATGCTAATTTAGGTTTTAGTTTTACCTTTTTTGATCTTAAAAAGAACTTTCTAAAATTAGTAATTAGTAACGATTTAGTTAGTTCGCAATCGATAGCTTCCTGTAAAGTACTGTGTAATAGTTGTTTAATTTTGTATTATTAATAACTTCCTATACCTAAAATCAATATTTAATGAGAAAATTGTGTTTTTTTTGAAAATATAAGACAAGATTTGACTTTCGGTCTTCTTCTTGTATTATGATGGCTCTGATACGAGGCAATTACCTTTTAGTCTCTCAATAGAAGGCATTTATCATTAAACGTATCAAATCTGTGTGCTACAGTATGGGATTTCTGTCGCATAATAATGAATATTACGTTTATTTGCAAATCCTTTACTTTATATTTATACTTTTAAAGGTAGCTTCATCAGACAATCAAATTTTAGTTAAATGTCCCAATCTTCATGAACTGTATTAAGCATATGTATTGCGGTTTGAATCACCCCGAGAATCACCCTGTATGTTGACAAAAATATTTTGAAAATGTGCGTTACAATGGCCCCCATCTTATGTAAAAAATTGAAATAAAAATTAGAAAGAATCAGGTAATAGGTAATAGGTATGTATAAAACTAGTAGCCTAAGAATTATTTACAGTTCGTCCCATTCTAAAAAAAGGTAAACACACCGTACAAATAACTCTAGGAAGAGGTATTTGTACGGTGGTCAAAAATTGTTTAAACGAGGCCGAAGGGGCAGATATAATAATGCAATAAAATGTAAAAAAGGGCGGGTAAACACCTTTGTTTATTTATTGAGCAAAATTCCTTTAGAATATCATATATAATGACCAAAATATGACGCAATTTTAAGAAAAAAAATGTCACTTTCTGGCTTATGATAAAGTTTCAAATGCAACGTTTATATTCAAATTTGTTATGATCTACAACAGTTAAGTAGTAATTGAGACGAATTATAATTCAATTACTGGCTACTACGTTCTTGTTTTAATAGCTCAAAATTCAACAAATATAATTAGAAATTATTTTAATTGTGAGAGGCTCCCTTGTGGGACGCCTATGTACGGCGATTACGGCCCGGCGGAAGCAATACCTACCTGTGAAAAGACAAATTCGGGTAATTTGAGCTTATTTTTCCACACATTTGACACTGTCGTACCATATTGAAAATTCGCAGATTCAAAAGTACGTTAAACAAAAGCAAAAACTACTGAAAAACACTGAAAAGTTCACTTCGGACTTGATTCCGACTTCAAACACACCGTAAGCTAAACGTAGTACGCTATAACGGACCAAGGGCCGTCGCGAGGGGTGGTGGGACGGACGGCTCATTTCATTCTGGAAGACTAGCAGCGACGTTGCCAATAGTTCTAGACGTTTCAGCACATTAAACAGTAAACATGTCCTTTAATAGTAACGCCAATATCCTCTGGTTAATAACATATTATTACGCATGCTTCTTTAAAAGTAAACTATTAATTTAATTAAGAAATTGAGATTTATTGATATCCGGTGAAGGTTTTAAAGTCACCTTTTCTGCAAATCAAACTAAGTAGATAGGCGCAAATTTGAGATGTGGCAATGTCGCCTTCTCTATCTCAGTTGGTTTTTACAGTACGTAGTCAACCTCCGATTGTTTGATCGGGTTAAAATGCAAAATGTGATATCTGTTCTTCCTAAATCTATGGTCTGAAATAACAGATAATACTTAGACATATGTTGAGATAGAATATAGAGAGATTATGGAACAAATATGTATACATAAAAAATCGCTAAAATTAAAATGCAAATAATTATAATAAATGGAGATTGTGTTATGTTAAATTACTTATATTTTTAGTGTGATTATGGAATCACCTATCCAACTACTCTGTTATAAATTGTTATCTATTAAATTGACTAGCAACATTTATAGTTGGTCGTATCAATATTAGACATCTTCATAATGACTTTGCGCTCTCGCGGTACCATAGTAATTTTATTATAAAAAAATAATCCACTATTTCGATTACTAGGTAAGTAAATCTAAACAGTGCACATAAGAATGAAGTACCGTATGATCGAATAAAAACGGCGTCAACAATGGCTATGAAATGAAGATCGCTGTCATTTTATATGTAAAATTATATGGGAAATGTCATCGATCGTCATTTCCAAGCCAACTGGACGTCGTTTTGTTTCGATCATACGGTATTTTAATTATTACAATATGTAGCAGTGCAATCACCTTCATACATAACTTAATTTTCATTCATTTATTGTATTATACAGGGTGGCGCCTCTCATACGCCGCGGAGGCTCCAAGGGGAGCGACATTTTTTTATTGAAATGAAATTTTGTGAGCATATGTAGGTTAATTCAGAGCACTTTTTAAAAATATAGAGAGTTCTACAGGGTGTCCCCAAAAAAGTTACATATCAAAGTTGTATTTTTTGTAATGGAACATCCTATATCTTAATTGATTTTCGGATTCTGGGAGAAAAATAAAGGTGAATTTTATAAGAGAAGTGTATGACTAAAATGTAAGGTTTTTGGCATATATAACATTTTCTAAAAATTAAGAACAATTTTTAAATTACAATAAAAGCTACCTAAATTGGAATTTACCCGGTATAGCCTAATATGTACTTAAATTAACTGTTGTACTTTAAATCAAATTAAAACTTGATCCAAAAAGTTATACAGGGTGAGGCGACAAAATTAATCTATCCAAAATAAAGGAGTAACTTGCTTTTAAAAGTGACTAATGTTCCATATTAATTTTATCTCACCCTGTATAACTTTTCGGGTTAAATTTCAATTTGGTTTAACATACAATGGTTACTGTAATTAAATATCCGGCTATACAAGGTCAACTAAAATTTAGTTAGTTGTTATCGAAATTTAAAATTTACTCTTCATTTTCACAAAATGTGAAATACGAAAAAATCCTTAGATTTTAGGTATATGCTTCTTTAATAAAACTTATCTTTATTTTTTTCCTAGAATCCGAAAATCAATTAATATATAGGGTGTTCCGTTAGAAAAAACACAACTTTGATGTGTAACTTTTTTTGGGAACACCCTGTATAATTCTATATATTTTTATAAAATGCTCTCAGTTAACCTACACACGCTGCCAAAATATCATTTTGATATAAATTACCGTTCTCCTTGGAGCTTCCGCTGCGTATGAGAGGAGGCACCCTGTATACCTACCTACCTGTAAAACAAACTAATAAGTATATTCAATAACTATGCAAATGTTCTATTGTAATTTCTTTGACGTTAAAATACCACACTATGTGCTTTACTTTTATGAGTAATTAGGTGCCTACTAGCCGTGAAACAATATAGCACGAGCAGAAGGAAATTACCATAGGAAATTACCCATTTAACAACGGCAGATTCTAAGAGAGAGATTCGCCCAATTCTGTTCCCACTTCAGCAACGTTTCGATTAAGAACATTCCATCTTCCAACGATCTCTAATTTTCTAATAAACCGTGCCCGAAATTCACTTAGGAAGTTTCCTATCTTGACATTTGACATTAATAAAATTACCAAACAAAAGAAACAACATCGTAGTTGTAGAATTGCGACCTTTAATTTCTTTTCTCTATTTACCGTAGTTTTTAAGTTATTTATAGAGTAGGTTTCTTTAATAATGATAAATGAAATTTTTAACTTAAATGGGAGCACTAACTTTTCAGTGTTTTTGTTTTTAAGAGAAATAAAAAAAATTATAAAAAAAATCTATACTAATATATAAAATCCTTAAGTGACTGATAAGTGAAGTAATATATTATGGTAAATTCACGCAAGTTTTGTGAATATGTCTATAGACATAGTTTTACTACAAGATTGTATTTTTGATTTAAATTTAATTTTTAAATTCACAATACTCATTGTGAAAATAATATCGTTTAGTAATAATCATTTAATATTGATAAGCTGTTTTGCAAAATTAATTTTTTTTTTGAAACTATGTAGAAAGTGATAATGAAACTCTATTATTATTATCTCTTCCAGATAGACGTTCCAAACGACGTTCACGTGCCACCCGCCTACCCCGATGGCAACGCCCTCTCTCCTGTTCCGATGAAGCCATCTTCTGCGCCATGTCGTCCGAAAACCATCCACATCAGAGAGAGGCTGCGCGCGCGACCAGGATCGCCCGCTACAAGGAGGAGCGGCGCAGACAGCTGGCCGAGCAGTTCGGCAGGGGCGTCGGTGAAGCTGGGGGACCCGCCGCCGCCACTGGGTTCAGGGCCGGATCGTCGTCCAGTGGGTCGGAGGGCGGTCCTAGACCGACCAGGGCTTCGAGTTTGAGGGCGCAGGTCGTTCTCAGGGTCGCGGGTTCGCCGAAGACGGAGGTAAGTGTCTAAATTATTATTGTTTTATTTATCAGAATTGTTCTTTTTTATTTCTTCTCACTTTTAACACGCTATATCAATCGTATTTTTAGAGATATGGATCTGTGTTAAATGCAATTTAATAACAAAAACCGAAAATAAACTGAGTAAAAAAGATTGATTTTTGACTAAAATTTTATATTACAAAGTCTTTTATTTTTACCAGAAAATAACTCCTTAAAGTTTTTCGTATTTGTTTTGGAACACTCTGTATATCTTATACCGTGTGATTGAAAAAAAAAAACGGCGTCAGCCATGGCTATGTAGTAATGAATAAGATCGCTGTCATTTTATATGTAAATTTATATGGGAAATATCAGCTATAGTCTGTCCAACGAGAAGATCCTTAACAGTGATAGATGTGTCTGTCATTTTAATTTCAAAGTAGTTTATTTTATTTTACAAAGAAATAAGTTGGTACAACTGGAACGCATAGCAGGATATATTTAAAATTTGATTGACAAGATGACAAGTGATTACTTCAAAATATTGTGAAAAAAACTGTATAAAACTGAAAAAATGTAATCGAGTTATTTTATTTAATAAAAACGGTATGTGTTAATACAAAACAAACAAGAACAAGACACTACATACCAAAAAAATATAAAAAGAACTATTATTTACTTTCAAGCTTTATGAAACTACCCGCATTTACGATTATATTTATCAATATAACTTATGTACAAATACAAATTTGTAATATTCCACAGGAATAAATAAAACAACATAGGTAAATAAAACAAACTATTTTATTAATAATAACACCTACCAAATTTTATACCTTAAAGGTTGATTAATTAATTTTAATCTTAATTTTTTTAAACCAGTACCTTTTGACATTATTTTTCTGCAGTACTAAAATCCATTATTTACCTATCGTGTGATGTCGATATTTTACCGCTACTCCAGTTTTTAGTATGTGTTTAGTTTGATCTTCTACCATATACGAGATGCACTTATCTACGACGAAATGGTATACAAACTTTATCGATGGCAACTTCATTGGTGTATAAGCCTTTCTGCTTGGGCAGCGAGTATTAACCATAAACTGTGCTCTGGGTCTACAGTTAATTTTCACTCGATTTTTCCTCCACTTGACTTCAAAAGACACAAAACACACGTAATAATACGAATCAAAATGCATCATCTTCCAAAACGCAGGGTATTTAACAAAAGTTGACACAAAATTATAACCTATAATTTGGCAAGACTTTGACAAGCGTCAAAATGACAAAAATCTAAAGGCGAGTTCATACGCATCGGCGTCCGTTTGTCGTTCATCGTTCCGTCAAACCAATAAAATTGAAATACGATCTGTCATTTTTTAAATAAACCAATAAAACTGGTTAAAAACAACAAGACACGACGCATGACGGATTTATATTTAAACCCATCCATAGATAACTTAAAAATTATTAGAAACTTTTTTTAGTAAAATAAATAGATTGGTATGGGACGTCATCTGCTTTTCTTCTGTTATCGTCTGTCGAAATCTTACCTGAGAAAAAAAACAGAGTATATCGTCATTTCCCAGCCAAATGGACGCCATTTTTTTGGATCATACGGTATTATAATTTCAGAAATTTTCAATGTATTATAAATGGCACTTTCTTAAGTATCTTGTATTGCAGTTTAATAATTTTCAATTCATCAAAATAATAATACCTTTATTATGACAACTATTTAAATTTTATTGAATCATTGTAGTAAATTGGACGGAATCTTTTTGTAGTATGCCTTTAAAAAATGTTGAACCGTAAGACAATAAAAAGAAAAAAAAACTGGAAAGTACTGTTTAGTACGAGTAAAATCCAAGAGTAAATTCCTAATTAACAGATTTATTTTAGAATTAAACATTTTTAAAGAATAAGTAGTAATAAAATAATAAATAAGTATAAATGTAATAATACATATGTTTTTAATGTTGTTGTAGCGTGGTTCTTGTGAATAGATTTTGAGGTTACATTTAAATTTTTATATTTATAATTCACAAATAATTTTTTGATATATTGATAAAAGAATGTACGTATTATATCGTTACGAAAACCTTTAAACTTGTATTTAATGCTTTTTGTCATTGCGTGATATGAACAATTCAATGCTAATTCTAGTTAAAGAGTTTATGTAACTAATTCGGTTAAAGAGTTACCTATATTAATTCAATTACTTCACGTGTGCATTATATATAATTTAGTTATTTCCTGACACTTGTTATATTTTTTTGTAAATTTTGTATTTCGTGGAGATATGGAAGTGATGAACACAATTTCTCGAAAGGCTCGTAAACTAGAATACCTATGGACATATGCGAAACTAAGGAAGATGGGATAGAATCACTATAGAAAGAAAAAATCTTTGGACGAAGAGGACTAGAAAGATGCAGGATATCATGACTGAAGAATGCCAGGACTTTTATCAAAACATCCTCAGAACTCTTCCGGATTGTTGCGAATAAAGTCTGGATCGCTTTGATGACCGCCAACATTCGCAACGGATTGGCATCCTATCACAGAATCTGCATAGATTAGGTGGCTTTCGGCCTGATCCACTGCGACCTTCTCAGATCTATTGTGGTCCTCTTCTTATCCTTAGATTACATTCTCCAGTCCTATCCTTTTCACAAAGTTTAGCAACTTGGAGACTGAACCCTCCATGTAGCTCCTTGGCAATGGCCTATCATTGCCTATTACCTGGAACCGCACATTTGCCAGGCTGTCACACCGACATAAAATGTGTGCTGACGTTTCTTCTTCAGATTGGCAGAACCTACACATAGCTTCGTCTGTCAATCCCATCAGCTTTAGATGCCCATTTAGCTTACAATGCCCTGTTAGTAGACCTACTACAGCTTTGACTGTCTTTCTGTCCTTGCTTATCAAGTCTACCGTGAATTTTGGCGAATGTTCTACAATGAACCTTTTCGCCTGTCTCTGTCCTGGTGAGTTTCTCCACCATTCTAGAGATTTGTTGACCACCCATCTTTCCGTGACCATTCTCGTGACCGCCTTTACAACGCCGCAGAAAGGTTCTGGGCCTATGGATGGCATTGATGAGCCTTGCTTGGCCCTTTCATCTGCCTTTTCGTTACCCTTGTGACCCTCGTGCCCTGGCACCCAGGCCAACGTAACAGTGCTACGTTCGCCCAAAGTATTCAGAGCACGCACACAGTCCCACACTAGTCTAGAATTGACCTCCGCGGAGCCGAGTGCCTTTAGCGCCGCTTGGCTGTCTGTGAAGATGGCCACTGAACGATTTGTTCTTTGTTGCCTTATTATTTCTTCTACACAATAGTGGATTGCCGTTATTTCTGGCTGGAAAATTGTGACATCCTTAGATAGGCTTACGTGGAAGGATCTCCCTTGTTTCGGCCCTACTATCCCAGCTCCTACGCCTTCTGACGTTTTTGAGCCCACAAAGTTTCTTAGTTTCAATCTAATGAGGTGTTCATTGAAGAGACAGTCTCCTGTTAAAAATCCCGTGACAGTCCGAATATTGTTCTTACTTAAATCAAGGAAAATCTTTGATTTTTCTTGGTCGTAAGTCCTGAGAAATTTCTTCAAGTGTCTTAGTCCGGGGATTGGATGATTCCCATTCCAGGTTACGGAAAGATTCTTCCAGGTTTTTCAGTTCCGTTTTAAGTTGGTTTCCACTTAGGAATCAGAACTGTCCTGCATGGTCCATTTGTGGAGTGTTCGCTCCTTTTCTAGCTTGATCGTTTGATTTTTCATGTCCCTTGGTGGTCTGGCAGTTCTGGCACCCAGAGTAGGAGGACTTTATTTTCTTCCCCTAATTCTTTATTTCCTTTGCCTAATTATCGGCATCCTAAGAACAAGAAGAAATCTGTTCATAAAAAAAAACTAGAAAATATACAATAATATTAAACATGATGGGACACGTTGATAAGACAAATTGCTGCTTCTTCAGCACTATTAATTTTTGAAATACGTTGTCGAATATGAGAGTTTAACGGTCCGACTTACACTCAACTTTATAACCTGGAACTTTGGAATTTATCCAGAATCTGATTGACTCGTAAAAATTTAATCTTCTTGGAGTTAATATCACTTCACTACTTAACCGCATCGCTGCTGCTGCGATACGATAATAACACAGGCCGACATGATTTTTGTAACACGAGTCAGTTGCAGAATTTCTTCATAAAAATATGCTTCTAATAACAGAAAAAATACTCCTGAAGCTCCTACACGTACCACTTTTCAGTTGCCTAATTACGCCTCTTTTTTGCAGGTAGTCAATTTTATAGATGTCAGGTATTAAGTCTAGGTAGATTCGTTTACATACAGGTAAATTTTATGATGGGATGATTGAAAGGGACGCATTTTGTGCACTATAATATATTGTGAAAAACATAAGAGAGTTCAGTTTTCAGTTGATTTTCGACGTGAGTTGTTCTATGCGTGTAGATAAATAGTACGAAAATGTCAAGTCAAACGCGCCGCAGTTGTAAAGTGTCTCCTGATCGATTTTGTTACATTTGTGGAGAATTTATGGTGCAATCACAAGCCAGACCATTTTCTGAAAATGTGAAGAAAGCCTACTTCAAGTATTTTGGAGTTTTGGTTGGAGATCAAGACAAGCAGTGGGCTCCTCATGTGTGCTGCGTTACTTGTAGCGTGTCGCTTGTGCAGTGGATGAAAGGGAAGAGGAAAAAATGCCATTTGCGGTTCCAATGGTATGGCGAGAACCAACTAACCATTTTGACGATTGCTATTTTTGCCTGACGAAAACTGAAGGTTTTCCAAAAACAAAAAGCACAAGATCGAGTATCCCAATTTGCCGTCTGCCATACGACCTGTTCTTCATGGTGCAGATCTCCCAGTGCCGATCGCGCCCTTAGACTGGCAAGGTATTGTTTTGGAAGATAAGGAAGATATTGAATCAAACAGCTCTGGAGACCAGTGTACTGATCCTACCTTTACCCCAGAGGGCGGTTCCGACAA